AACGCAGCGTTACCTGAATAACATTACAGAATTCTCTGAGTTTGAACATTGTTGGAAACAGATTATAGATTTAAAAACAGTCTGAGAGAATGTGGAGTCTGTCTGAAGATAGTTCTCACAGATATTTTGATACCTTTACTGATATCTAATATCATCTGTGTGAGTCCAGGTTATAGCTCAGTAATAACATCACCCCACACAGAGCGTCTCTCCTGCTCCACACGCTGGATCACAGGAGAGCAACTCTGCAGCAGAGTGCAGGACCTGGTGTGAAGGTCCGACGTTTCGACTGACAAAGCAAGGTTTTAATTGCTCAGTGGGGGGGGGGCTGACGGTCTGTCTGTTAGTGCCAGATGTGTGGAAACGTGTATCATCAGTCTGCACCCACAGGTGTAAGTGAGCAGAGTGGAGAGTGTGTCCAAACTTAGTTGAGAACAAGTTGGTGCAGCAGGATGATAGAGGCAGATGGGCTGGTCTGACACAAACACACACTGAGTCATAGCTTTTATATGAGCCAGGTGGTGATGGGAGCTGTTGTCCTCAAAACACACATTCAAATAAAACTTGTTCAAAGCCATAGAACATTCAGCGACAGTACACAGAGAGGAAGGACTGGAGTCACATGTTTGTCTTGTATATGTACATATGATACACACAGTAACATTAGCATCACTTTTCTGTTTTACACTCCGGTTAATACCTAAAAATTAAATCACCTTTTAACTTTTTTTTTTATCGTTATAATCGTAACATCCCTGCCAAGCCAAAGGTCAAAGCCCCCCAACGTTAGCTGCCCAAACTAATCAGCTAACGGCAGCTAACATTACAGTTAGCAACAAGTCCATCTGGAAACTCCATAAATAAAGAGCCGTTTTTTCATCTGTATGGGCGAGAGAGGCGAGTCATTCATAAATACGATTCATTCATTCATATGTTAGCTTATGATAGCTGTTAGCTAAGTGTAACTAAACTGTTGTTCTTGTCTTCACTTTCTTCTGGACTGGAGGAGTACTGAGGCTGATTTACAGGGGAAAAAATCTTTCTTGTTCTTGTATAATTCATAAAAAATGGAAGGCAACTTGTTCCAGAGAGAAACATTTTGTGGTCTATTGATTGAATAGCGACTGGACAAAAACAAATATCAGTTGTGATCAGATCTAAGATTAGCAGAGACACTTAAGAGTCTTAAATCTCATCTGGATACGAGACTCTCGAAAGGACGAGTGGTGATGAACCAAAGAGTCCGTCTGTCAGACAGTCCACCACAAACCGACCGGTGATGAAAACAAAAGGGAGTCACTGGGAGAAGGCGCAGCTGACTGGTCCTCACGTCTGATTGGACGGAGGCAGATAACCACTGGCCCGCTAGCTCGCCTGCTAATCAGAGCATTTGTTTTTATTCCAGAGAGAAAGAGAGGGAAGAGGACGACGACGTAAAGACAGAAAGACGAGAGAGAGGCTCCCTGTGTGATTCACCATTTACTTTTTCACACACACACACACACACAGGCCATATGTCCTGTTGCTTTGTTCTCCACACACACACACACACACAGTAATGAGGCCTGTGTGTTATCGTAACATGCTGAGTTGTGTAATGTGTGAGCAGTGACTAACATGTTTTTAATCCATATGAAGAGACACACACACACACACACACACACACACACACACACACCAGCAGATGGACTGAGTTCACTTCAGGTGCGTTCTTCAATCAGGAGACTACAGTTCTCCTGATTGATCTCCTCGCCTCCTACGAACACTGTCGTCCGAGTGGAGCCAGTGAACGCCTCTCAGCTGTCGGATGATGCATTCAGGTGATGCTGAGTGGATTTACACCAGCTAGCTGCATGAGCACGTCATTGTCGAGAAGTCCTGGACTGATTGGGGTCTTTCTCTTTTCCTTTCCTTGACACACCAGGACAGCACAATCCGCTTTCTGAATGAAACTTTTTCACAGCAGCTGTTCTGACATGAAATAGTAGGGTAAGGTTTTGTTCCATTTAGTGCAGCAGTCTTTCCAGTGAGCCAACATGCGCAATAACAGCACCCTGACTCTGTTTGAGTCGGACCGGTTCAGTAATGAACGTGCAACTCCTGCAGACAAATTGTGTGTGTTTATTTCCTGAAGGACTGTGTGGAGGTTTTGTGACTCACTGAGCCGGTTTAGAGCTGGTCTGATCACAGTGGACCATTAATAACTCCCCCCACTCTATATGCAAATAAACCTGTACATAATCTCCGTCTGCAAACACCAAAATGTTGCTTTCAACCAACGCGCTGGGACAAATGCTTCCACTCAAATAAGGACACTAATTAATGTGTAACGGCGTTTCATTAAGTGGATAAAGTTTTGTATCTTATAAAACATCCATCAGCCGACTGACCTGTGGATCGGAGAACACTTCCTGGATGTTGTTGATTGGTCCAACAGGAACACCTGAGCCCTCAAACCTCCTCAGCCAATCAGCCGTCTTCTCCTGCAGAAACCTGACAGAGACAATGTATTTGTGTCACCTGAGGAGTCCAGTATTCACTTTTAGCTCTGTTTTTGGTCTCTTTAGCAGCTGAGAGCTCCACTATGTTCACCGTTCGCTGCTGAGCAGGTTGTGTACGGCAGCTTTTTACAGCCTTTTCTTGCTATAAAAGATAAACAATGAGCTGAAAGTCACTATAAAGCTCCGTAAAGCCGAGGAGAGCTCTAGAATCAGCTGATAAGTCACCACCAGATACGCACAACAGTGTCATATTATCATTTAATACAATGTTAGTATAAAAATATAAATATAATATAAGCATTAAAACAGATAATAATATCACCAAACTATGTTTAAACAGATGTGTTAAAGGATGATTTTGGTTTTATGTTCTCAGGACTGCGTGGAGAGAAGTTAATGATACTAATTATCCTGGTGAAATAATTAAAGATTCATTTTGTAGTGTGTGTGTGTTTGTTTGTGTG